ATGGTGGAAGTTATACTTAGTGCTGGGGTTAGGGTTAATGCTGGAGGGTTAGGGTTAATGGTGGAAGTTATACTTAGTGCTGGGGTTAGGGTTAATGCTGGAGGTTATACTTAGTGCTGGAGGGTTAGGGTTAATGCTGCAGGTTAAAGTTAGTGCTTGGGGTTGGAGTTAATGGCAGGGGTTATAGTTAGTGCTTTGGTTAGCATTGAGGCATTAGGTTAATGACTGTGCTAGGTGGTGGGACTATTATATCACAGACTTATATGCTTTTCACTGAAAGGTGGGGGACTTAGTCGCACACCGGGACTACTGTTAGCATTAGATACCTGGTACATAATAGAGAATAGAGTTCAGAAGTAATGTACTCACACCAGTTCATTATTTGCCTTAATCTGTTATAGTCGTGCCACTGTGGGTTCCCCAACAGAGTTCCAGACCAGAGGTTGTTTGGGTTGACGGTTTATTTCCAGAGCTCATATTCCACCCACACACACACCCACTAAGTTTGGGTTCATCGTGTATCCAAGCATGTATACTGCCGTGTTCCTGCCTTCTGGCCTGTCTCCTGCTCCAGTTCTCTCCAAAACCAGTCCTCCCAGGTCCAGCACACTACTCTGCTTACAGAGGGGAGAGTGATTAGGCAACTGGTTCCAGGTGTGCTCAATCACCCCCCCTGAGCCTTTTCCACACCCACCCACCCCCCACAGCATAGCAGCAGGGCCCCCCCACAATCTGTTGTAAACACAACTTTACATGTGTTGCGCCCCATCACATCATCAGGGATCTGCAAAGGAACCCTTGCATCCTGCCAGACATCTGTGTGGATCCATCCATGGGGGGCAGCAGACACCACAGCAGGGGCAGGAAGCAGCAGGCCTCTTCCTCTCCGGGGCTGATGTAGGGTTCTGCAGCCAAGAAGTCCAACTGTGTGATGCAAGATCTCCCCGCTAAACATTTACCTCCGGTAAGACTTTAACCCAAAATCAAAGGTTCCGGAAATCTGACAATAGATTTCTGGATAGATATTACAATAGATCTTTTAAAAGAGTTCTGATATAAACAAGAATGTTTCATGTAAATACCCCCAAGAATTTAGTGGATTAAGTCTAGAGTAAAAATGATAAATATAAACATACAGAAATGTACTTTCAACTCACAGTCAACTGATTTTTACACAACTATCTAAGAGCCCCAGGTTTGAGAACTGTTTGGACATTAAAGTATTTCTATGGAGAAAATATTACTGTTACTCCTTCTTAAAGACAGCATCACCCACTACACACCTTTGGAGGTTAAATACTATTAGAATTAAGATTTTACTAAATATGTCCAGACTGAGGAATTCAAAAAGCTGCTAAACACTCTTCTAATCAAACTGTTTCTATTCTAGAACATTCTCAGAAAGTTTAATAAACTTACCTGGATGTTAAGCCTGTGTCAGAGTCAGATATAATCCAGTCATCACAACCTTCTGACCCTCTGATGGACAGTTGGTGACACATGTCAATAACTCTCTGTACTCAACATTAGCTACAGGAAAAGTACAGCTCCTAAATATACAAGCTTTTAGATTTGGTCAAAGTTTAAATAATAACAGACTAATGAATACAATTTTCTAACAGCATTTACGTCCAACTAATAACCTGGATCAGAAAAAGGATGAATTTGACTCTGACACAGACCAGCACAGATTCTCCAACTCTAGACCTGCTTATAGGTCACAACTATACAAACCTGTAAGAACACACACACACACACACACGTGGGGAAATGTTTTATTCTGCAGGGATGGAGGAGATCCACACCTCGCTTTAGGAGAGCAGCCCACCACCAGAACCAGGAGAACACCTGGAAAACATTCATTTATCAACTCCACACTCTTTTCTACGGTGTTACTGAGCTAACATTCTTTCTTTTTAAAGTGTTTAACACAGGATGAAGCAGAGACCAGACTCAGAGTCTCTGTGGAGCCAGATGGAGGGACAGCAGCTCCCTGCTGACCAGCTGGACTAAACTTTGGGACCTAACACTGACCTGTTGTTAAGCCAGCCTCATGTTTCAGTCAATCATCATCACACACTCTTAACTAATCACATTTAAATATGTAGAAGTTAGGCCTATGGACAAGTTCCTCTACATTATTTACTGTTTAACATGGAATAAATAAAGGACTGCCCCCCCCCCTGACTGACCACCTGATCAGACTGGACCTCTGTTACCTCCACCAGGTTTCCATGCTCCAGTCCATCAGGGATGAAGAATGATCAACAGCTCAGGTCTGTCCGGGTGTCCTGGAACCTTCCCATCCATGTTAAAACCTTTAAGCTTGAAAAAATAAAAATAAAAAAAAGCCGAAGGAGGAGAGCATAGGATTAAAGAAGAGTCCCCCCCAGAACTAACCAGCAGCAGCCATGTCAGAGCGGGGCCTTCCTTCCAGACTACTCCAGAGGAAGAAGGGAACAGGCCTCTTGAGACCCCCAACACTCTGAAAAGAAAGGAAGAGAGCAGAGTAGTCAGGCTAAGAAGAGTACCCCCCTAAAAGATATTTTTCTGTAAATGAAAAGAGTGAAAGAGGAGGAGAGTAGAGACGGAGGGTTAATTGTTATTGACAAAAGTATTCTGTCCATTTATAACAGAAAGAGAAATTAATTCAAGCTTGAGTGGTTCATACAATCAGACTAGGCCTGGACTGGTTGTAAAAATACAGTTTTTGTCTATTTGACTTTGACTCCCAATACCAGATGCTCCCTGTCCATGCCTCCAACAGTAGCAGTAACAACATCAATCAGAACCATCCCCATTAGCACCAGCATTTAGTAATGAGAAAATATAAAGTATGTACTTACCTGATCAGACTGAACCTCTGTTACCTCCACCAGGTTTCCATGCTCCAGTCCATCAGGGAAGAAGAATGATGAACAGCTCAGGTCTGTCCGGGTGTTCTGGAGCTGTCCCGTCCACGTTAAACCCTTTAAGCTTTAATAAGAAATAAGATGGCTACTGAACTGAAGGAGGCCACAGCAGAGGAGCAAAGAAGACCCCACCCAGAACTAACCAGGAGCAGCCATGTCAGAGCGGGGCCTTCCTTCCAGGCTGCTCCAGAGGAAGAAGGGAACAGGCCAGCCGTGTGGTCACTGCCTCCTGAGACCCCCAACACTCTGAAAAGAAAGGAGGAGAGCAGAGGAGGGGGAGACTAGAGAAGGAGGGTTAGTTGTTATTGACCACAGGAATCCATCTGTCCACCTCTAACAGAAAAAATAAAGCTGGAGTGGTTCATACAATGAGACTGGGCCTGGACTCGTTTGGAAAATAAAGTTTTTGTCTATTTTACTTTTACAATTTATACTCCTAATAAGGTATGTTCATTTAATAATGAGCACCACAACTGTTGTTTAAATGCAATAATCCCTTAAAAGGCACATATCCACTAAATAAAAGAAGCTGATTGAATATTTAGAATAAAAAGGAACTTTTATTGAATGACAGAAAATTATTTTATTTTTTATTTCAATCAGAATTTTAAAATTATTTTTAAATTAGTATTCTAGGATTAACTCAGAAATCGATTTGTTATCTGTGGAACCACACTCTCAATATGACACTTTATAATAAGATTTGAACCTCTGGCCTTTTTATTGAAGCTCATGCTTGACACCTAAAAACTGGAATGGCTGCTCCACTCATAGATGAGCACAAAATCAGGTGCTTTGGGTGTTAGTACTCACAGATCCATGGGTTTGGTTAGCAGAGGCAGAAAGGGGGATGAGAGTCCCACGATGCTAAAAGCAATGAGCTTTAACCCAAGTTAAGTCACAATGAAGCAGCGCAGCTCAGTAAGACCGGACTCACCTGAACACAGACAGACCAAAACCAGATCTCTCTCTAGTGGCCGCCTTCTTAAAGCATATGAATCCAATGGAGAATTAATATGGAACTTTATTTCATACTGAATAAGCATTAGCTTGCTTTATCTTCAGAAATATCTAAATGCTACAGCTATGACAAACGCGCACAATGGTACTGAATGCTACCACCAATGAGCAGGTAGCTAACCATCTACCACATCCAGTTTCATTAAAATACTAAAGTTAAAGTACAGCCCATCAGGTATGAAGAATGGATGAACAGGTGGGCCTGTCCGTGTGTTCTGGAGCAGTCCCGTCTGTGTTAAAACCCTCTATCAGAGGTAACAAACACTAACATTCCTGCATCAGTAGCATGATCAGTACAAACAGCATCATCACAACCACCAGCATCATTAGCATCATTCAGCACCAGCATCATTAGCATCATTCAGCACCAGCATCATTAGCATCATTCAGCACCAGCATCATTAGCATCATTCAGCACCAGCATC